AGAGATAAAATAAACAATCAGCAAGCTCTCACCATTTGCTGGTAAAGCAGAAGACATGATTGGGGTATGAGAGTTAGTTTGTTTTAACTTGTTTTCATTATTTAATTGCTCTAAGATTCCTTGGTTACCATTTAGCAAAAATGCTAAGGATGAGGTCCAAACCAAAGTAGCTTGTAGCCATTTAAAAGTACATAGCATCTGAAATACCAGTTGTAACTAGCTCTTTCCTGTGTGGGTTTTTCTTTTGCTGTGTTGGGTTTTATTAATTGAAGTTGTGTGAAAGCAGAAGGGATTACTAGTTACAATCTGTAGTGACAAAAGCATACTTTATCCAGCAAGTACAAATATTGGAGTTCTGCATGCTCACAAAATACTATATGGAAAACGGTAAAATACTTTTTTGAAGACAGCTAAACAGTCTTCATTTTGCTTCCCTTGTCTGTATTTGTACTAGAGAACAGGCACATTACTTCTTTTTAAGCTTAGCTGGAGAGAACTGAAAGTCTAGAAGCATGAGACTATACCAACCTGACAGTTTGGTTCAGCATGTAAGTTTTGTTACGTTAATACAAGAAGATAAGGAGAGATGCTGAGTAAGATGGAAACCTGCATGTTTTGGGTTAACAAATACAGTTAGTAAAGAAAGAAAATTTATATAACTATTCTGTCCTAGCCTCTGTGATTCATACTACGGTCAAGTGTTTACCCACAGCCTCAGGAAAACTAAAGGTATGACATCGATACCAAACTCTATGCAGCTTATTTTCAATAAAATGACCTTTATGTCATTATCTGCCACTATTTCCTTCATAATTACTGCAGGCAGCGTTTGCAGAAAAATACAGATCCCTTTTTTTCCTTGTAGTAGTATCGCTTGATACCTTAAACAATTTTCTGCTCTAAACTGTAGGTACTCAAAGCAGTAACTGAACTAAAGCACTATACTCAAAACATCGTTATTAAGAAGAATCATAGCCCTGCTATGTGTGTTGGAACTTCATGTGCCTTTAAAAAGCATATTATCTAAGGTGTTCCTTAGATGGTGACCACTCAGCATGACTCTTAGAAGTTGAGAAGCCTGGTTCTGTTTTGTTTTTCATTTGTATCTTTATTTTATGTAGGGGGTGAAAAAAAAAAACAGAATAACTGAGTTAGACTGAGACTAACTCAGTCTTTGGAATTATAAGCATAACATTTTTTTAATTCCAAAAGCTCATTTCTAGAACATGCCACAGAACATACTGTTAGAACTCTGATGAAGAGAATACCAAGAGCCAAAGATTACTTACAGCTCATGAAAAGTAAAAAGAAACCCCAAACAACCAGAACACTGTGCTTTTTAACCACCTGAATAACAGAACATTTCCATTAAATCGGAGAGGACTTTTCTGCTCTCAGCTTTGACCTTTCACTTTTCTCTCAGGTACATTAATGGGATTCTTGGGAGAGACCTTAACTAGGCATACAGCTTAGTACTAACTCCAGTAAGTTTTTATTTGGCTTTGGAATATGGAAATCATCATTTAGTAGAGGAAAAATAATACTAGTAATTGTTTTCATAATCATTACTCAGCTGTTGTGCAAAATGTCAGCATATTTTAACACAAGTAATGATGTAGCTTGACTAGCCCTTGAAATGGGTCTCTTCCTCATGGAATTTTAACCTGGAAAATAGAAAGAACAACACGAAGCCAAATCTCTCATTCATAATCAGGAATTATTTCTCCAGCTTATCTCTAAACATGAGAATCTGAACCACAAAAGCCCAAAGAAAGTATAACTTACATAAACTCTAGGCAAAAAAAATAATTTTCAATCGTGTAGTTGCGTTTTCTTCTTCTTTTGTCAACTTTCCAGTGAAAACCAGTTACTGGGGTTCAAGCTGTCTTCTGTCAATCATGTCATTTAAATTCTTTCTCAAACAGCCTTAAAGCATACCTTCTCCATAGCTAAGAAGCTGGCTCCCCAGAAACTGCGTCAGCTTGTTAGGTTATGTATTTCAAATTCCTTTCTCACCCTTTGCTCTGGCTCACTCTTTCTCCAAATATCAGACATCTTCCCTTTATTTCTCAGTCCTTTTCTATTTCCTATGTTTGTTGCTCCATCTTATAATTAGCTGGCTGGTATTCTAAGACATAAGAAGAGGTGAAAAGCATTAGAAGCAAATCAGATTCCATTTCTCTGCTGCCAAATATACTTCCTGAATTTAAACAGGACCTAAATATAGCAATTTCTGCCTCCAGTTCTGAGTGTTACAGGGAAGGCAGCATAGTGTTAAGAAAACACATAAAGGAAGACCAGAATCAAATGGAAAGAGACAGAATATTCAACTAATACTCAACTGAGATTATTCAGTGCTATTTATTACTTTGCAGTACATGAATAGGAGTAGTTTACCAAATTCTTCCTCTACAAATCGAGATGCATGCAGATCAGCATTCCACTAGGAGATATGTACGGGACTGGAAAAACACTTAGCAGTGCAAGAAAACTGTTAGAAAGCTGGCAGCTATTAAAATAATTTTATTTGTTTAATTTATTTTGCAAGGGCTAACTGATTCATTGACAAATGAGTGGGTCATATTCTAGTTTGCATATAGCACAGTCAGGTTCAAAGCCTGTACACAAATTATTACAAAGTGTGTTATCAATACAGGCATAAATACAGGCTGGGCAGAGAATGGATGCAGAGCAGCCCTGAGGAAAAGGACTTGGGAGTGCTGGTGGGTGAGAAGCTCACCATGAGCCGGCACCGTGCGCTGGCAGCCCAGAAAGCCAACCGTGTCCTGGGCTGCATCCAGAGCAGCGTGGGCAGCAGGTCAGGGAGGGGATTCTGCCCCTCTGCTCTGCTCTCGGGAGACCCCCCCTGCAGTGCTGCGTTCAGCTCTGGGGTCCCCAACATCAGAACGACACGGAGCTGCTGGAGCGGGTCCAGAGGCCACAAAAATGCTCCGATGGCTGGAACACCTCTGCTATGGAGACAGGCTGAGAGAGTTGGGGTTGTTCAGCCTGGAGAAGAGAAGGCTCCGGGGTGATCTTATTGCAGCCTTCCAGTACCTAAAGGGGGCCTACAGGAAAGCTGGAGAGGGACATTTTACAAGGGTGTGTAGTGATAGGACAAGGGGCAATGGATTTAAACCGAAAGAGGGGAGATTTAGATTAGATCTAAGGAAGAAATTCTTCCCTCTGAGGGTGGTGAGGCACTGGCACAGGTTGCCCAGAGAAGCTGTGGCTGCCCCATCCCTGGAAGTGTTCAAGGCCAGGTTGGATGGGGCTTTGAGCAACCTGGTGTAGTGGAGGGTGTCCCTGCCCATGGCAGGGGGGTTGGAACTAGATGATCTTTAAAGTCCCTTCCAACCCAAACCATTCTATGATTCTAGTGTTTTATCCAAATTACAAAACCTTTACTTTTACAGAAATCAGTGGAATTCTGTTTATGGAAGTAAAATATTAAAATAAAATGTTTTACAAATTTAAGTACTTCATTTTTACTAGCTCCTGGGAAGTAATCAATGGAGGAACTCCTTGCTACACTTGTGTATTATTCAGAAATAGTAAAAAAAAAATTTAAATTTTGAATTAAATACCATCTTTGAACAGCATCTGCAAAAATAAGAATTCCTTACGAAGTGATCACTCACCACCTGTTCTGAAACAAATAATCCAGATGATCTGTTTTGTTATCAAGAAACACTGAGATTGAAACATGAAGCTAATTCCTTTCTTATTATTTATTTCTAATTATTCTTATTTAACTTTTCCTATCTTTTCACCTCTAAAAGAGATCAAATTCTTGCAAGTCAGAATGCAAGACTTTGAACACGCATTTCTGTTTGGAGGGATTTTTAGGTATTCTTAAGCATTGTACGTAATAAGCAACATTTCAAAAAAATGAATAATGGAAAAATTTCAGGAGTGCAAAACAAGTTTGTACATTTCTAAATTAACATTTAGGAGCAAATTAGTTTTCATAATTTATTTGAAGCATTTATGTTTTGACCACAAAGACAGCAAAACTAAAAGTTAGCATAAGATATGTAACTTGAACAGCAATGTTAACTAAAACATTAAACGTATTATTTACTCAAAATAAGACAGTTTCAAGCTATAAATCAATTAGAGCCTTAATTTCACTAATTTTGTTTTGCTTTACTTCACTTGCTGAAGGCTTTTTGGTAGCAAAGGCTCCTGCTGCAAGTTCTCTCTTCTTGTTTTGAATTTTCAGCATATTTTCTTCTACTGAATCCTTCACAATGAACTGAAAAACAAAAATTAAGCCCCACTGAAATGAAGAAATTATTTTGTTTTAAATTAAATGTTTAGGATGAGAAATTTAGGTACTTTGGGAAAAAAAGTTAAAAAGCTGAGTACCCTAAAGCACATTATTTTGTTACTACTTTGTAAAGAATACACAAGAGGGAAGGTTATAAAAGCAGCTGGAGGAAAAGGTTTAGCATATTATTTTTTTTGCTTTAAAAAAAACCCAAACAGCAAACACTTACTGAAATAATATCTATCTCTTCTTTGCTACTTTATAGAGGAGAACCTGTCTTCAATTTCCCAAGTAATTTTTTGGTGACTGGGTATTAAATGAGACAGACCAGTTTCTCTTCTGCAGCTAAACAAGCTGCTGTGCCAAAAGCAAAAGCGTCCTACATACCTTCAAGACAATAAGCTGTAAGAACCGGGCTAGGCAACAGCAATACTACCCCATCCTGGTCACTCCAAATAGCTCAACAGATACTTCTAATTTCTAAAATTGTTATTTCACAGGAAATAGTTCACATTTAGTAATAGCTTATAATCCAAAGCTGACACTTCAAAAATCACACCGCAATTTTAAGTTTGCTGGTGAGACATATGATGTCACAATTCTTTTAAAAATAAAGAGTAAAGCTTTTTGGAAAATATTTATTCATAACCAGAAAACTGTTCAAACAGATCATCTCTCAACTCACCTTAGTAATAACAACAGTATGCTTCTGACCCAGCCTGTGACACCTGTCAAAACACTGGTCTTCTGCAGCAGGATTCCAAGCCTATCAGTAGCAGCAATGAACAAGTTACTTCCCTTCAAAATGCACAGTAACATGCATACAGAATCACAAAGAAGGTCTTGTACCATCAGCTCTTGAACAAATACTGCTTGTAGATTTATCACTTCCAACCTAATGTCTCACTCATTCAAGTATCCCGCTGTAAAGCTTTTGAGAACTACTGGTTTTATATTCACAACAAGCAGGAACTTCAGGTAAGTGCTTTAAAAAACAAGTTTATCAGGAGTCTAGAAGACATCAAAACAATCTCATTATCATTTCAGTTCTGAAATAAACACTGCATATACTAACTGCCTCAGTACCTTTTTCCTGATAGCAAAATCTAAACCAGCTGAACACAGCCGGTTATTTATCAGTAGACAAAGTCTCCTGGCTGTTCAGAAAGCCCAGGTATGATTAGTGTATGCTAATAATCGCCAAGTTAGGTAAACAAGAAACTTGCTGAACATAAAATGGTAGTGTAGCTGTTCCTACTTACGGTTTGGATATAACAGTAAATATAAGGACTTGTGAAATGCCAAGTCTGTACTCTGCATTTTTCCAGCATGTTTCTTCTATAGAATCATAGAATTGTTTAGGTTGAAAAAGACCTTTAAGATCATGAGTCCAACTGTTAACCCAGCACTGCTAAGTCCACCACTAAACCATTTCCCTAAGCACCACATCTACATGTACCTCCAGGGATGGTGACCCAACCACATCCTTGGGCAGCCTGTTCCAATGCTTGACAACCCTTTCGGTGAAGAAACTTTTCCTCATATCCAGTGTAAACCTCCCCTGGCACAACTTGAGGCTGTTTCGTCTTGTCCTATTGCTTGTTACTTGGGAGAAGAGACTGACAGCCACCTCACTACAACCTCTTTTCAGGTAGTTGTGGAGAGCAATAAGGTCTCCCTGAGACCTCCAGGCTGAACAACCCAGTTCCCTCAGCCGCTCCTCATAAGACGTGTGCTCCAGACCCTTCACCAGCTCCGTTGCCCTTCTCTGGACACACTCAAGCACCTCCATGTCTTTCTTGTAGCGAGGGGCCCAAAACTGAACACAGTGTTCAAGGTGTGGACTCAACAATGCAGAGTACAGGGGAATGATCACTTCCCTAGTGCTGCTGGCCACACTACTGCTAATACAAGCCAGGATGCTATGGGCCTTTGTGGCCACCTGGACACACTGCTGGCTCGTACTCAGCCAGCTCTCAACCAACACCCCCAGGTTCTTTCCCGGCAGGCTGCTTTCCAGCCACTGTTTCCCAAGCCAGTAGCGTTGCATGGGGTTGTTGTGATGTCCACAAGCATGTTCCGTTCTATTTTTGCCATAGTCAAGGAGGACCAAAGTGTACTACTCTCACTCTTCTCTCCCATCAGTCCAGCAAAGGAAAACTGAATTGCAATACCTCTATGCCATTCTGCAGTATCTCATACAAAGGATACTATTTTTCCATGGGAAAATATGAAGAAACTTGAGCCTCAGAGAAGCATCTGTATACTTGTGATATTCTCACACTAAAGGTTCACATTTCTTGCTAAAGGTGAGAATTCAGCAGACATGATTGAATCATAGAATGGCACAGGCTGGAAGGGACCTTAGAGATCATCTAATCCAGCCTCCCTGTCATGGGCAGGGACGCCTCTCAACTAGACCAGGCTACTCAAGGCTCCGTCCAACCTGGCCTTGAACCCCCCCAGGGAGGGGGCATCCACAACTTCTCTGGGCAATTTATTCCAAAGTCTTCCCACCCTCGTACTGAAGAATTTCTTCCTAAGATCTAATCTAAATCTGTTCTCCTTCAACTTAAACCCATTTCCCCTTGTCCCATCAGTGGACACTCTTGTAAAAACTCCCTCCCCAGCCTTCCTGTAGGTTCCCTTCAGGTATTGGAAGGCAGCTATTAGGTCCTCCTGAAGTCTTCTCTTTTCAAGGCTGAACAATCCCAGCTCCTGCAACTGTCCTCGTAGCAGAGGTGCTCCAGCCTCTGGATCATCTTTGTGGCCCTCCTCTGAACACGCCCCAACAGATCTATGTCTCTCTTATGGTGGGGACACCAGAACTGGACGCAGTATTCGAGGTAGGGTCTCACAAGAGCAGAGTAAAGGGGGAGAATCACCTCTCTTGACCTGCTGACCACGCTTCTCTTGATACATCCCAGGATGCGGTTGGCCTTGTGGGCCACATGAGCGCACTGCTGGCTCATGTTGAGCTTCTCATCTATAAACACCCCCAAATCCTTCTCTTCAGGGCTACTCTCAACCCACTCTGTACCCAGTTTGTATTTGTGCCTAGGATTGGCCCGACCCAGGTGAAGGACCTTGCATTTTGACTTGTTGAAGCTCATGCGGTTTGCACTGGCCCAATTCTCAAGCCTATCAAGGTCCCTCTGGATGGCATCTCTTCCCCTCAAGTGAGTCCACGGCACCACACAGCTTGGTGTTGTCGCCAAACTTACTGAGGGTGCACTCAATGCCGTCATCCATGTTGCTGACAAAGATGTTGAACAACATGTTGTTGATTGTATTTAAACAAACAAATAATAATATTAAAAAAAGTGAAGTAGTCTATGATTGGATAAATGTTCCTCCCTTGGATTGTGGTATAACACCTCTCAGAGAAAGAATGCAGACCTCTAAGCTACAGTTCTACAACAAATCCACAGAATTTGAGTAGAAAAACTGGTTACTCTGCTGGCTCCAGAGGTATTTCTGCTTCTTAAATCCTATTATTGCTGCTAATTCACTTCAAGGAATGCTAACGCATGACCGAATCTCATTGAGCACTAAACATTCAAAAGTGAGATCATAAATATTATGCCTCTTCATCAAATACAAGTAGTCAACCCCTGCCACTTGGGATGGTTACCATCACAGGATGGTTGCCAGCAGGATGAGAAGTTGTGCAATGCTGTATAAAGGCTGCAATCATATTTGGCTCTAGTTTGTGAGGTATAATTACATACTGTAGTTGACTCAGTGTTAACAATGCCTAGCTTATTTTCTTACAACTGTTTGCCGTAGGACAGTGTATGCATTATACCTCATTAATTATCTTCACAGAAAATGAAAATTCTCCTGGACTTTCCAAAAGTTTTCTTATTGTGAGAATGTGATTGTTTTTTTTTTTAAAAAAAGCACTTTGACTAGATGGTGTTATAGGTCCCTTCCAACTGAACTATTCAATGCAACACATACAGAAACATTACTTGTGAAAATGTATTGCAATTAATGAAAAATCTTGTTCCAAGGCAACTTTTCCATACTCTCACTCATATTTAATTACTTTAGTTTATTAAGTAAATAGCTTTTGTCTTCATGCTGTTATTATCACTAACCCAATGTCCACATTAGTACTTTTTCTTTACTATTGGTGTTACCAGATGGCCAAGTCCAAAGCTACACTATTATTTTCATCTACTTTGGTTTTGTTTTCAATTGCATAAACTGTAGAATTTGTGTGTATCCAACTGCCAAAAAACTAGGACATCAGAGCAGAGGAGTAAGTAGTGGGGAGGGAGGAAGTGAACAGAAAAACTTCAATCTTATACAATGACACAAAACATGAACCAATTCTGTTAAGAATACCATTTTGCTATCAATAAATGTAATTTACGTTTTTATTCCTTACAAATAATTTTGCATTCCTGAATGCTTTAATGAAAGGAAAAAATTCCTAAATTTAGATATCACCTTCTTTCTGTCTCCTACAACCACAAAAAGTAACCTCAGATTAGTATCTTTATTTATAAATAAATTCACAAAAAATAACATAAGAGACTAGAGCAGAGAAGCACTGCATTATAACACAGAAAAAAATATACTGTTCCTGAAATTCCACTCTATGGCTTTTGAAGTTATTAAATAGAACAGAAAACCACATTCAAAAGTATCAGAAAAAAAAAGAGAAAGAAATAAAGAAAGAACAGATATCAAATGCTATGCTCTAAGGTGTCACAACACTTGGTTAAAAGTACTACCAGCTTTCTTTCCATTCACAGTAAAGAAATGGACAGCACAAAAATACTATGTTAAAACAAAAACATGCCAGAGAAACAAATGAAGAAAAGCTGTATTTGCCCTTTAACAGATACTCATCACTGTTGTTAATTCTCAGGGGGGGCTTTCCTTGTACCTCTTAGGAAAACACCAAAGGAGCTTCACTTAGATTAAGCCAGATCATTATGAACAACCCATTACTCACAGGGTCCATTAAAAACACTCGGGAAGCTGCTGTCAGATTTAATCCAACTCCACCTGCTTTCAGAGACAAAAGCATTACAGTTGGGGATCCTGCTTGGCTGCTTTGGAAACACTGAATTGCTTCTACTCTTTTCTTCTGTGCCATTGACCCATCCAAACGAGTAAAGGCAAACCCCGACTCTCTGAAGAGAAAGCAAAAATGTTCAGTTTAACAATCCATTTTCTGTGACAAGAGGAAATAAATACATTAAAATCCTAACCTCTACTTTGAAATGCATATTTAAAATTGTATTTAACAGGTGATACATTAAAAATAACAAGAATGAGATTCATGGCTTTATTCCACTAAACAAAGTATTTAAGTAATTTGTTCCTCTTCTGAAGTTTTAAAAATCAAAAGGATACTATATTCTTTGAGAGATCTTTCTAAAACACCATAAAAGCACCTGTTTACTAAAAATGACAGTAGTTCTACTTACTTCAAGGGATTTTCTATCAGTGACAGGAAAGTTGTGAACTGAGAAACAACCAGACATTTAGCAGTTGGATTATCCCTCCGTAGTTCTATCAAAGCATGCATGAGAGCATTTATCTGAAATCAAACAAAGACTTAATGCAGCTTATTCTGAATCAGTTACGTTCCACTCCTACAGGTGCTTTGATAAAGTTCACATCAATTGAGAAATCACTATTCAGTAGTACCTTTTAAAGGAACTAATCTTAAATTCTGTGGGTAGGGTTTCTTTTAGTCTCCAAAGGAAACTAAGGTTTGAGCACTTTTAATGGTCATGAACTACAGGATGATTGATGGTGCTTTGGGAAAGAGGATTCACAAACCTGTTTTCCAGACATACTTCCCACTGTCAGGAGTCAGCAAGTCCCCTACCTCCAGGGCATATGGGAGAGAGTACTGGAACTCTGAAAAGCAAGGCTTAAGCAACCAGGCAAATGCTCTATTGGAGCAATACTAAAGGATCCAGAAAGGTTTCCCCCAGAAATATTCAGGCAAATAAGCCATGCAAGACTCTTGGCTAGCTATGACAGAGGATAAGGAGGCACCAGAAGCACTCTGAGGAGCAACATGAGAGCAAAAGGAGCAAGGAATTGGATCTGAGGCAGAACAACATTGCCCGTTTTCTCAAGTAAGGTTTAGCTATGATGTGGTAAAGAACCACTAACTAGAGAATGCAAGTATCTACACCGGGTAGAATAGAAAAAAAAATTTAAAAAATTTATTCTAGAGCACAATATCCTAAATTAGTTCTTAAGTCTTCACAGAAAGATTTTTAGGGAACAAATTTATAACCAACTTTTGAAAGAACAATAACTTCAATAATTACAAATTAAAATTAAAAATTTAATGTTTCAGAAAAGCAATCTCAAAACAAAAAGGTCGAAGGACAAGCAGGAATATTTAATTTTTGGCAGTGAATGCACAATGAAGGTGAGGCAAAAAACAATGTGGCAGACCTTGAGAAACAGGTCTGCAAAGTAAAATAAAAATCTTTCACTTTTTATCTGACAAGTGTTACATTGAACATATGATGTCCATTTAGTTTTCCCCTCTAAAGCAGATATATATTCTTTAGACAAGTTTTAAGAAACATGGATTTATTTAGATTTTTAGTTTCCAAAAGTAAATTAAAAGCTGAATAGTTTCATTGGTTATAGAACTACTCTGTCTTCAGAAACAGAAACAAAATGCAAAGCAACAGCTCTTTTACTCAAAGTTTTATTTAATTAATACAGATCTATGCACTGCACAATGACCAGCATCAGATTACAACTGTTGCTCTTTTTGTCTTGTTTTCCTACTGCAAAATTTATGACGAGATTCTTATTATGCATTTTATCCTGTGCTGGCTAGACACATTGTGCAGATTTTTTAATTAATAAATTAAAGTATGTTATGTATATGTAAAGTATGTTCAGCATATTTACACAAAAATTCTAGAGAGTGCTCTACAAAACCATAATGAAAGCCAAGTAAAACACAACTGAATATACCTTTGAACTGGATATCCACTTCTGATCAGACTTCTTTCCGCTACTGGAGTCCATTTCCTCTTCTAGGGGACATTCCACCAAATGCTCTACTCGAAGCTCATTCCTACAGAGAGGGCATTTGGCATTTGGCTACGAAAAAGTCCAAACAACATTAGAAGAAACATACTAAATCAAAATCTTCATAGCGAGTACTAAAGATCACCTTTTATGAAATTATTATATTGGTGTTCATACAAAAAAATCCTCAAGGAGTACATTCATTCTTGTAATACACTGCTTTGTCATTTCTGATATAACAACTGAAATATTTTGTGAGAACATCAAGGTGACGTAAATGCTATGTGTTTTAAAAACACTCAGCCTTCCTTAGAAGTGGTCTTTATTCTGAGCATGTTTATACTTGAAATAAGCAGCTCAAGATTTAAAAGCAAGCAAATACTTGACCTATGGGAAGAAGACTATTTAAAATATCAGAAAAATAAACCATCTTTCAAAGACAAGATCTTTCTTAGTTACAAACAAAGAATGACCTTTTAAACTTTTTCTTCAAAGCCTGCACAGAAATAATAGCAGTCTGATGAAATATGCTTTGTCAGGGTATCTTCTCTTTTTCCCCAATGGACATGAGAAACGAGAGACATAATCTAACACCAAAAGCTTTTTTTTCTCAGAAGCCTACGCCAGATAAGGCAAAGTTTAGAATTCATACAACAACACTTCCATAGGACTACTCTCAAAATTTGAAAAAAGACTCTGTGCACTATACAAACACACGAGTTTGTGAAGCAAAAATGACAGACATGAAAAGCTTTTGCCTAACAGAGCAACCCTTTAAAATTCGCTTAGTCAGTTTATACAGCAACCTGGCCACAGAACCAAGGCATCTTTAGACAGGCTGCAAAGCAGACCTCACAAAGCAGATGAATTCTGGGTGCTGCTAATCTGGAATGAACCTCTAGCCAATCAAAGAGACTGGCAGTCATGGTCTGTGTACATGAATATACTGCAGCAACAAAAATATCCTTTCAAGAGACACAATATTAACACAAACAAATCTGAAATAATACTCTCCAAAATGTAGTTACAAATGAACCATTCCTGAGCTGGCAGCAATCCAAAAATCCCAATGATGAGACAAAATAAATGAGTTCTAATAAATCTGAAAAAGTTTTCTGGAAAAAAAAATCATAGCAGTGCTCATAAAGACGGGTTTTTTTTTAATAAACAGCTCACATCTTTCTGCATCCCTTCTCCAATTTAGTACTGTAATTAAAAGCAAAAGAAAACCCAAAGCACAGCTGAATGATGCCAACAAAGGCACTGAAGACCTGCAGTGAAAGCATATGAAAGTGATGAGAAGTGTCTTGCAATCAACAAATAGAAGGAAAAAAAAGAAAGTTTTAATGCATATCTGGCAAGCTTTTATAAGAACACGTTTAACACACTAAGATATTAGATTATTGTAGATATTTTATAGCTTTATTGGGACTTCTGCATAGGATCTTTACTTACTTGCACAACTCTGAAGCTAGCCTTGATGAAAGACTGTGTTAACTACTAGAAAGTTTTTCCAATTTCAGTAAATACTTTTAGGTTAACATTAGAAAGATAAAACGGTCTCCAAGTCTGTAATACAATGAAAGGTCAAACTTTTCACTCAGCAGTTTTGTGCTGACAGCTTCACGTCCTGATGGCTTAACGCTCTCATTTGTATTAATAATGGAAACCTGGAAGAATCCTGTTGGAATCCAAGCTGTTTTGGGGGAGGGGGTATGTGTTTGTTGGTTTGCTTTGGTTTTAAGGTGGTATGTACTTTCCCGAGCTATTTACTAGGAAAGAGTTGCCGTGTAACCATCCAGGCACAGGAACTGCCCAGGTGAGACGCAGCGCTAGGACAAATACCTATCATGCGGAAACAGTGAATTCCCCAACTCTGGAATTCAGATTCTGTCAGTGTTTTGGCTGGAAGCTGCAAAAACGTTAATGGGAATTAATTTAAATCAGGAATCATTCTGAACATAAGAAAGGCTTACTCACTCACTGCTTTATAAGCTCACGATAGTTCAACTTCAAAAGATCAGAATTTACATCCACCTCTGTTCAGACTTCACTACTATGAAAGCAATCTATGGAACAATATGGGATTGGACAACGGCCCTAGTTCTGCAGATTCCAAGGTCCTTTCTAGGCAAAGCACAGTAAATAATGAGTGTACAGTCAAGTAATACAGGTTCCATCACATCATAATCTGATTTATTTCTCTGCATGTCTAAATACACCCGAAGGTTGGGCAGGGGCACTGACTCTCCTACAGACATATCAAGAACCTCTGCACTGGAAAAGGCCTCTGCAAGTGCTCTTTCCTTAGAGAATAATTTCACATCACTTGTTTCCCTCAAAATTCTCAGAAACTCTTGTTTGGGATATCTGCATCAGAACCTTGCAAGTCTATCAATGAAATAAAGTCAATCTACACACCAGACAGACAACACTTCCTACCTTTGTCTTGTTAGGTTGACTGATTATGCACAAGCAGGGACTAACTTGTCCCCTGCTGCCTCCTATAAAGAGCAGCGCCTAGGTTTAGCCTGGCATTTGCAGTTCTACTGCAGCTGAGCAGGAGGCACAACATTCCAGAAAGGAAGCGCAGCAGCACTACATACAAGTGGTGAGACTACCATGCTATCAGACTGCCCTAGAAAGGAAAGGGCAAACAAGAAGGAAGAGTGTAGCTTAGAAGCGCACAAGAAAAATAAATACTCGTATCAGACGCTCATCCATAGGCTTATTCTGGAGAGAGTCCAGAGAAAGGCCATAAAGACGGCCCTCTAGCAAGATGGCTATTTCACCGTAGAAGGTTACCAGATTGGAATAACAAGACTAGACGTGATTTTAGTTCAACAGTCAACTTCCAGTACACAGCTTTGGTCTCTTTTAAGCACAATATAAACATGAATCACATCACACGAAAGCAGTGGAGAGGCATCCAGCCAGATGGAGGTATACAATGCTGTACTGGATGCCATCACTTCTACTCTAGGAACAAAGTAAGGTGAGAACTAGGAAAAAGGTCTTTGAAAATAGTGATGGACCTTAACACCGTTCAGTTTGACAGCTACTCTCTCCATACTTTGACTTCAGGCCAATAGTTTTATAACTCAGCTGATAACTAGGTCTTTACTGTTCACCATTTATCATTTAAAAGAACAATAGCTAGATGGCCTTCCGGTGATACCAATTCATTGCTTTTGAATAGCTATAACAACTAATGGTAACTACAGAAACAACAAACCTGTTCACTTCTGATGACTTCAAAAATACAAGGCTTACAAAACACATGTGCACAGCGTGTTATCACAGGAAAAGTCAGTGATTCCAAGCAAACTGCACATTCTTCATCTGAACCAGAGCTCAGAACCAACTTCATTTTACTCACTAATGTCTCACGCAGTTCTTCAGGAGTTTTATTACCTGCAAATATAGAAAGATACTTGGAAACAGAGATTTCCACACAGGAAACACTCTGAGTTGGCACACACTGACACAGCTCCATTGATCAAAATGCGATTAGGACTGTTTATACACAATGAGGATTTAGCCAGCAACGTATAAAAACACACACTGCCAAATACTACTGAAAATTCTGACCTACTATTTCAAAACACATTCAGAGTAATCTTACATGGAAAAATGGTAATTCGAATTCCAAGAACATTGACTGCATGCTCAGTGGTAAGTACATGTGTAACACCATGCCTAATGAGAAGAAGCAATTTTCATATGGCAGCTGTTCAAGAAGTAACAATACTACACAGATGACACTGTAGTCAAGATTGCTTTATTTTTTTAGTAAAGTGATTCAAATGACACTTACTAGTTACTAATTAATTTCTAAATAATTATTGAACAATTATCCAATCATTTCTCCATCCTGTATTTTTCAGGAAGATAAATGACGACCTTCTAAAAAAGGTTCTGACGGTATCTCATTGGTCTTTTGGATTCCTGAAAAATCACACCCATACCAATGGTATCTCAAACCAGGATTTTTCAAAATATTAAATGTGAGAATTCTCAAATTTAGAGTATTTGAAGCAGACTATGCTTTCTTCTGAAATAAATGCGTCTATTTTGAACACTACACAGCTGTACAGTTCTGGCCTGTCAAAATTTCACTCTCCTTTCAGTCCTCTGTGTTCACCCTTCCTTACAACCATAACAAAGTCAACAGTTTCCTATTCTGCTGAAGAGGCAATGGTTCTGCTGACACGGCTACCAATCTACAAGCCATTCCCCAAAGCGCCTCTACATCTTCTCTCCTGAGGCAAAGAAAAAAATTTGCTGCAAAAGCACTTCTGTAAATTATTAAAACAATAGATACACTGCTTTTTAACAGGCCTTCTGCATTTGGCTCTGCAGAGGTCCTCTTCAGTCGTTTCTGTACAGGCTGTCAAAGCTTATTAACTCCTGCTTTTAGCCTTCATAACTACTCGTATTTCATTGCTTTCATTGAATATATGCTCCAGTACCCACTTCTCAAACATATTCAAACATCTTATGGTACAAAAAAAATAAAGGTATCAAAGCTAAAATTTCAACAATCCAAGCTGAAAGAAGAAGGCTGAAGCTAGAAAGCTTGGGAAAAGTGCAAGTCCTGTTTTTAGAAACACAGGAACCAAAAGTGTTCACTCACCAGCTGGAAAACTAGAAGAAGACGTATTTATACAAAGATGAGGATGACAACAAAGCTGCCTCAATCTGAGCAGGACACCAAGGATGTCAGCATAGTGAGCTAGTACAGTCCCTTCACTGAAAAATCTGAACAAGAGTTTTATCGTTAGTGCGAAACACTACAACCTGAAGTAACAGATGACATTAAGTGATCAAGTGTAGCTGTTAGAATGATGTTCTGATTTTTCACTTTCCTGTTTGAATATATTTTCTCAAATACTCTTCTGAAATGAGGTACAAAACGCTACCAGTAGCACGTTCTACTACAAGAAATGCTAACACGTGGTAACAAAAATTTTAAGGCCATTCTTTACGTACCTGGTATCCCTTTCTGTCTCTTTTAAGACAGAACTTCTAATACATAGTTCTGCAATAGTCTCTACTTCCCTTTTAAGAGCTGAGAAGATGCTATGCTAATTTGCAATTATTACCTTACAGCACACAAACTGACACACTAGGCTACTAGAGCTAACGTAATCAAACTTCCGAAACACAAGTTTGTGATATCAAACTTCAACCTTCCGGATTAAGAAAGTCTCCTACTCACCTGCTAATAACAGCTTTGCCCTCCTTCTTCACAGACTGATAGATTTGTCTCTCTTCCTCTGCAAGCGTAACATGCTGAATAAGTACTTTACGTTCTGGTAAGTCCAAAATGGGTTTTCCTTCAACTTTACTTGTTTTAGTTCTTCTAAGGGTAATCCTCCTAATCAGAGATTGTAAACGCCTAAAAATACATATATAAACAATATATTATCCAGCTGGGATTGGTTTGTTGTTGGTTTTTTTTTTCAGTTTATTGCACAAATACATGTTCTGTAAAAAATCCAAGCCCAGTCGTACAATATAATCTATTAATCTGAAATACTAAATAATATGTACTATTTAATATTTATTATTTTGAACTAAAAAATTGAAATAAGAACTGATTACACATGCATTTTAATTTTAAAACATGAAACACTAATCTGTCACATTGCCCAAACAATGCCAGTCATGCTCTTTCACAAACCCTTTGGAAACACTTCGTACTCAAGTCCTCCTGGAACTCCCATTGTGACCGGACGTTGAATTGTTCTGTGCCACCACTCTCGATCAGTAAAAGGTTTCAGTTTTAAGAAGGAAATAAGAGACCACAAATCCTTTACAGAATTCTGAATAGGAGTGCCTAAACAGAAAACAAACAAAAATTGTAAAGTCTCAAAGAAACTAAAAAATACAACTTTTTAGTCAAAGTGAAAGTTCTGTGCTCTCTCCAAACCATATATTATGGACAAGGTCTCTCATAACTAGGCTGACATGTCATCAAATATAATACTTTTAATTAACACACTACGAAACACTTAAATATATAAGAGTGAGAAACTGCAGTTCTCAGTGCTGGCAAGACTTGGATGTTCATCCTTCCATTTCAGGTTCACCAGCAGTAGTTACATCACGACCATCTTTAAGTTATGGATCATATGCTTGCATGGTCTCTGGCAGTTTCTAGGACAATTATTACATTTCAAAAAGCTTCTGAGGTTCAGATAAGTAAGTAAGAGTGTGAGCTTCTAACCAGACCTAACATGCCAGTTCATAAACAGATCTCTTTTTACTTGTACTTCCAACAAACTTGTGTATCAGAAGTTATTTTTAAATTTGTGTCTGAACTGAGTAGAAACAAAAACTAAAAAAAACAACCCACCACCAAACCAAGTAAAGAAAATCAAAAACAACTTAAAGACGACACATCTAAATCACTGCTCAAAGACAAGCCTTAAAAACATTTCAAATGATTCTCATGCAGACAAACCTCCCAAAGTGTAAACACCAAGTAGGAAACGCAAGATGGTGTTATACTAAGATGATTTGCATTGCATTTACTCTGGTGTCAAATATTTTACCTGTCAGTACCCATCTTCTTTGTCCCTCCAGATTTAAGGCAGCTTTAGTTTGCTGAGCATTTGGATTTCGTATAGTGTGCCCCTCATCCAACACAATTCTCAGCCACTTGACTTTATGTAAAGGGCTGTCACCTCTAACCTGAAACAGAGTATTTTTTTTCCACCTTTGATTCAAATTAAAATACTTTTTTGCAATTTGGATTAAGCAAGCTATTACCATATCAATTCCACAATTAATAATGGATAGTATTTATTTGCACCTTATCAGCACAGAAGAGTAAAACTAAGAGTGAGGCGTTCCTTCTTTTAGATTTAATGATTCCTGGAAAACGTTACCAGTCTTGTCATACTTCTATATGAGAAATGAGCTACAGCAAAAAGAAGCTAAGCCTGAAAAGAAGAAAGGTGTCAAAGACACAGAGATATGGAAAACACATCAGAGAGCAAATTAAAAGTTTATATTGTATGTAAAGATGTAATCTTCAGGCTTTTAAAATGGCTGGAATTTCTATGAAAGCATCACTTTACAAATACATCTCATTCAATGGCCTACTGGGTTGCAGCACATGTGCAACAAGAACTGTGGAATTATGTTTTTATATGCTCCATATTCTTTGAATCTGATAGGGGAAGGCAAAAATGGGAGCCTCATGACACTGGGATTTGGGGATATTTACATACTTGCCTTTCTTTTCTATCCTTAAAAAGTCTCTTCTTTAAGCTGTCATAATTGCAGCTAAATAATTTTCTCTACAGGAGCACTCAATAAAAACTCCCTTCACTACCACAGCAAACTCGTAAGAAGGTATGTAAAATAAAACTACAGCTATAACCTTTTGATTGTCTACCAGAGTAGCACTTGAATATACTGCCATCATTAGCCCAAACACTGGGAGTCGAACAGTAAGAGATCTTCAAAGAACAATTTTTCTCATTTACTTACATCAGTAGCTAAGATGTTGTATGTTGTCAGTACAATGTCTTGTTCTGAAAGAACTGATGGGTCTTTGCTGCGGTCAGAACCATAATAAACATAAATATTTACATGAAAATCTTGGCGGACATGTTGTTCAAACTGGTCCTGAAAGAAAAGTCAAAAATCATTCAAAAGATACTGTTACTATATGATTACGAGAATACAGTTCTTGCAAGTTGCCGTAACTAAAACCCACTTCCTCTAGCTCTGTGACATTCTACATCCACTGACACAACAAAAGCAATTTGAATTTGGCTTTCTTTTCACCTCTCCACCCAGGTGAGAAGAGGGACCTGAAGTAGTCACCTCAGGCTTTAGTAATAGACACAGTATAACATTCTGGTAACTCTAGCTCTACTTCTTGCACAGTATTAATTCACATCCTGATGGTATATGCACTTCAACATCCACTGTTCCTCCCAAACTGTAACTGAAGAGCTTTTATGTTCTTTTTCACTTTCTACCTTCATCTTCTCTTTGTTTCTTCTTTCACTGTTCATTTACAGCTTCTTCCCCTTACTGGGTTAACCACCTAAGTTTTAACATAAATGACAGCACAGTTGTCCAAGTATTCATTTTAAAACCAGTGTTTATATTCTCTACATTTGTCCTGCGAAGCATTCAGCATACAGTAATCTCAACAGCCAATAAAAATCAACAATTTGATTTTTGAAGCACCAGACTCACAAGTTTTCTTTTTAAATATTCGGTCTTAAATTGACGAAGAGTACTTCTTTTTTACACTCTTTGATGTTTCTCAGTTTTATGACTGTCACGTTTTACCTACAGTTTAAGATTAAATTGTATCCTTTTCTTATTAATGTTCTAACCACAGAGAGCAAAAACTTCCAAATAAAACATAACTTGAAAGTTAAAGATATCCCCTTAGTATTTGTATTCAAAATGTCATGAAAACAAAAAAACTCAACTAATGAAGGGACAGAGCTAGAAAGGCCCTCCCACCTGTTCACCCTAGATGATCTACTCCTACAAATCATCTACAGGATCACCAAATTACTGAACACATCTAGTAAATGAAATGTCACATGCATTATCAATAAAGTACAGCAATATTTTATTCTAAGCTTGCAAGAAGAACCTGTCTCCTCCACCCACCTCATCTGGTTTAAGGAGTTAAATCACATCAATTCCAGAAGGGCCAAAGTGAACCCGCCCACTCAAAAGCAAGGAATGGAAAGCAAGCTTGCTCTTTTTGATAGTGATGAGCTCACTACTCACGGAACCGTACTCTCATTACACTATTACTCCAGTTTTTAAATTTCTGTAATAAACCTCCATTGTGAAAGCAGCTTTCTTTCATAAAAAAGGAAAACCATGACCTTTTACTAGCACGAGCGACAACAGGGAGTACTATTTCTACAGCACCATAATCAACATACATCACATTTACACATTGAAACAGCTTAGTACTTACAATCCAGTTGCTTAGGACAGACAGTGGACATACAATCAGTGTTGCTCTTGGGCCATCACCAGAGTACTTCGTCTCAACTGACTGACTGCTAGCAGCACCTGACAAAACAGAAGTCCTATTTAGTGGTATAACAGTTCACTTTAAAGCAAAGTAGAAGTTCAATAAATTTATGGTTCCCTGAAGTCCTTTCTAAATTTCTTCACCTGAACAGCATCAAAGGAATTTATAAAGATCGAAGCTTCATTTATTAAGTCATTATTAACAGCCACAAGCAGGCTGAAAGCTCATGGGCAAGAACTAGAGACTGAGGCAACAAAGGGAACCTTGTGGTTGGTGTCTACTACAGGCCACCCGATCAAGGGGAGCCTCTTACTCCAGCTACAAGAGGCATCGCACTCGCAGGCTCTCATCCTGCTGGGGGACTTCAAACACCCCAACATCTGATGGAAAAGGAGCAATCCAGGAGACTCCTGCCATGAATTGAGGATAACTTCTTAAGCCAGGTAACAGATAGCCCTACCAGAATGGATGTGTTACTTGATCTGATGGTCACCAACACAAATGAGCTAATTGGTGCCATCAAGATTGGAGGCAGCCTGGGCCACAGTGATCATGTGCTGGTGGAGGTCACAGCCCTGAGGGATATGGGTCAGGCAAAAAGTAAAGCCAGGACCCTGAACTTAAGGAAAACAAATTTCCAGCTGTTCAAGGAATTAGTCAATAGGATGCCCTGGGAAACTGCCCTCACGGAAAAGGGATCAGAATAGAGCTGGCAGATCTTTAACGACACTTTCCACATCGCCCAAGAGCCCTCAATCCTCACATGTAAGAAATCAGGCACGGAAGGCAAGAGATCAGCATAGCTGAGTCAAGACCTGCTAGTCAAACTAAAGAGCAAGAAGGACATGCACAGGCAGTGGAAGCAGGGACAGGTATCCTGGGAAGAACACAGGGATGCCGCCCAGTTGTGCAGGGGTGGGGTCAGGAAAGCCAAAGTGCAGATGGAGCTGAACTTTGCAAGGGATGCAAAGAATAATTAGAAGAGCTTCTACAGTTGTGTCAGCCAGAAAAGGAAGGTCAAGGAAAGTGTACCCTCCCCAATGAGCAAGAGTGGCAAACTGGTAACAACAGATGAGGAAAAGGCTGAGGTACTCAACAATGTTTTTGCCTCAGTCTTCACTGGCAACCTTCCTTCCCACACCTCTTGAGGGGACGAGGGGAGCAAAATCCCTCCTACTGTAAGAGAAGATCAGGTTTGACACCACCTGAGGAACCTGAACATACAAAAGTCCATGGGATTTGATGAGATGCATCCCAGAGTCCTGAGGGAACTGGCTGATGTAGTTGCCAAGCTGCCCTCCATGATATCTGAAAAGTTACAGCAGATAGGTGAAGTCCTTGGTGACTGGAAAAAGGGAAACATTACATCATTTTTCAAAAAGGGTAGAGAGAAGAACCCTGGGAACTACCAACCTGTCAGCCTCACCTCTGTGCCTGGGACGATCCTGGAACAGATCCTCTTAGAAGCTATGCTAAGACACATGGAGGACAGGGAGGTGATGTGAGACAGCCAGCATGGCTTCACCAAGGACAAGTCCTGCCTGACCAATCTAGTGGCCTTCTATGATGGAGTGACTACATCAGCCAACAAGGGAAGAGCTACAGATGTTGTCTATCTGGACTTCTGTACAGCCTTTGACACAGTCCTCCACAACATCCTTCTCTCTAAATTGGAGAGATATGGATCTGATGTGTAGACTGTTCAGTGAATGAAGAATTGGTTGGATGGTCACATCCACAGGGTAGTGGTCAATGTCAACGGCTCAATGCCCAGATGGATATCGGTGATAAGTAGTGTCCCTCAGGGGTCCATACTGGGACCAGTACTGTTTAATAATCTTCATCAGTGACATAGACAGTGGGATCAAGTACACCCTCAGCCAGTTTGCAGATAACACCAAGCTGAGTGGTGCAGTTGACATGCCTGAGAGATGGGATGCCATCCAGAGGACCTAGACAAGCTCAAGAAGGGGGTCCATGTGAACCTCATGAGGTTCAACAAGGCCAAGTGCAAGGTTCTGCACCTGGGTCAGGGTAATCCCTGGTATCAATACAGGTGGGGGGATGAAGGGATGAGAGCAGCCCTGTGGAGCGGGACTTGGGGGTAGTCAGCAATGTGCGCTTACAGCCCAGAAGACCAACCACATCCTGGGCTGCATCAAAAGAAGCGTGGCCAGCAGGTCGAGGGGAGGGGATCCTCCCCCTCTACTCTGCTCTCATGAGACCCCACCTGCAGTACTGTGTCCAGCTCTGGGGCGCTCAGCACAGGAAAGACATGGACTGGGTCCAGAGGAGAGCCACAGACAACTATAGAGGGCTGGAGCACCTCTCCTATGAAGAAGGGCTGAGAGAGTTGGGGTTTTTCAGAATGGAGAAGAGAAGGCTCCAGGGAGACCCTATTGCAGCCTTTCAGTACTTCAAGGGGGCTTATAAGAAAGATGGGGACAAACTTTTGAACAGGGCTTGTTGCGATAGACATGGGGTAATGGTTTTAAGCTAAAAGAGGGTAGGTTTAGACTAGATATAAGGAAGAAATTTTTTACAATGAGGGTGGTGAAACATTGGCACAGGTTGCCCAGAGAGGTGGTAGATGCCTCATCCCTGGAAACGTTCAAGGTCAGGTTGAAGGGGTTGCTCTAGTTGAAGATGTCCCTGCTTACTGCAGAGAGGTTGGACTATATGATCATTAAATGTCCCTTCCAATCCAAACCCTTCTATGATTCTATGAAGTCAAATATGTACCATACTTCAGCTTAAAAAAACTCAGAAACTAATATTATCTTTTTATCCTTTCATTACCTTTTCTCTTTGTTTGTCTTTTTAAACAAGCAGATGAAGGTAGAGCAGATGCAAAGCCTGTATCTTCTTGGATAACATAGGAAGTTGCTGCAAAAAGTGAGACAAACATAGATTTTTCACACCGTGCAGAGCATACGCATGCATTTATTTTTATGACGTTTCATAAAAGTCAAACCTGTTAATCAAATTACTACTTCTCTCCAATACAATAACATAGAGTATCTTGAGTTAGAAGGGACCCGTAAGGATCACCAAGTCCAACTCCTTCGTCCTCGCAGGACTACCTAAAACTAAACCATACAGCTAAGAGCACTGTCCAGATGCTTCCTGACTCTGGCAGGCATGTGTGCAGAAATATAGTATCTTATACATCTATTTCAGGTTATGAACTTCAGAGGAATACAGTTTACCAGTCATTAAAAAAAAAGTTTAGCACAGGTTTCACTTCAAGTACTTTAAATCTAAACCTAACTGCTTACTCCAGAATACCCATAGCCCTTCATTTTTTTTTCCATGCAAGATACTTAGTTCAACAAATGACACATTCTTGCCTCTTCATGATCATATTTCAGATATTTACCATAAAAGATGGACTTAATTTTTTCAATTTGTTTTTCCAACCTTAGTGCCCTGACAAGCCTATGCCAAATTCTAAAAATCTTAGCAATTCTGTTTTTCACCACCTGGTTGACCCTGCTCATAGCTTGTTACACCATCACTTGTTCAGCTAAGGAAACAAAATACAACACTTAGGACTAAACTGCCTTCCCATTCAGCAATTTCTACAATTTACTGCTTAAAGTTCTGGTTGAATAAAAAAAATCCAAGTAGTTTAGTTAATTCCTTTCCCAATCAATTAGAAAGCCTATTCAGTTTGGCTTCAGAAAGGGAAGAGACATCAGATATCACAGTAACCAATTAAAAAAAAAAAATCCTTGCAACTTACTTTCTGTTTGTTGCAGTAGCCATTCTTCAGACTCTCCCAAGTCACTGCTTCCTGAGTATCTGGGTTTCTTGGCTTTATCTCTAAGATATCACCATTAAGAAAAAAAAAAAAAAAAATCACATAACTCTAACACTACTTCAATTTATATATTAAATCTCAACAGCATAAAGTGAATTAACTTGATATTGCAAATAAGACACCATTGTGATTTGAAAATTTTCTCTTTAGAAGGGTTAGAAAAAGGGAAAGCACAGAACAGAGCTGCAAGTTGAATAATGCTCAAAAAATTCAGTACAGATTATCACTGAAGTTCACACCAATTACAAGAGGATGCTAGCTTCACAACTTCATCAGCTCAAAGCTGTGTCTCTGTCAGAAGCATGCCTGCAAAACATTTAACCACTTAAAAACGCAGTTAATACTAGGAAAAAAGATTACTTCACAGCCAGTTTTTTAGACGCCACACTCTCCTACAGAGACAGGCTGAGAGAGTTGGGGCTGTTCAGTCTGGAGAAGAGAAGGATCCAGAGAGACCTTATAACAGCCGTCCAGTACCTAAAGGGGCTACAAGGAAGCTGGAGAAGGACTTTTTGCAAAGATTTGTAATGAAAGGACACGAGGCAATGGATTTAAACCGAAAGAGGGGAGATTTAAATTAGATATAAGGAAGAAATTCTTCACTACGTGGGTGGTGAGGTACTGGAACAGGTTGCTCAGAAAAGCTGTGGATGTCCCATCCCTGGCAGTTTTCAAGGCCAGGTGGGATGAGGCTTTGAGCAACCTGGTCTAGGGAAAGTTGTCCCTGCCCATAGCAGGGGGTTTGGAACTAGATAAGCTTTAAGGTCCCTTCCAACCCAAACCATTCTATGATTCTACGTTATTAGACATCCTTACTACTGAAGGAGACACTCAAGCATGCAATCACACAAGTCACATAGAATGAGTTAATGCTTTTTGATATATTCCAAAGTGCAAAACAGAATACTTATGATAAATTTAAACAGAAGTATAGCATACTGAAAGGTGAGGAGAAAGCAGGAGTATGTGTTAGGCTAAGGTAAATCACAACCAAGTACCACTTTATTTTTACTCAGAATCTATGTAGCAAACTAATAAAAAGAAAAATATTATTCCAGCTATCTACCTTTTTGGAAGACAACTTGAGTATTTCAACGGAGTAGTTTCAAACTTTTTAACGTTAGAAACACCAGGCTCCATCACATTGCTAGAGTCTTCATAAAGAAGAAATTGTATTTATGAGAAATATACATAGTCTCCAGATTGGTTATCAAACCAACTTTAGCATAACTTGATCAAAAACAAGTACAAACTTCCTTTAAAACAACCTTAGTTCTGCATGGAACAAGTACTACTGATATCGTGATCACAAATAAAAAATAAAAATACTCTTAAAACAATCTTAAATATTTACAAAGTCAAAAAAGTGTACTGAGTTTGCAGGTGGTCAAAAACAAACTATCAAGAAAAGGGAAAAAAAAATGTAAGCATTGTACTGTTAAACAGTAAGGGTAAAGTTCTATCAAGAAGTTTTAAATAACGCTAAATGATAAAGGGTTTTTATAGTATCCTGTTAAAATGCTTAATGCTCTGGAAAAAAATCAGTATCTTGGATGCTGCTAGGCAATTCAGCTTTTGTAAAGGTTCTGATTTTCTAGCGACACTCGTATTGACCTCCATAAAAGTCTGCATTTTCTCCCTTCCAGAGTAACAATAAAAATAACTTTCACCAGAGGCAGCTCATACTGATGTGTTCTCTCCTTATCAGTCCCTTTCATTTCTCTTATGCAACAAGTTAGGCCGCCCGTATTAAAATTCCTTGCATGGGAGAGGAGCAAGAGAAAGTTACTGCAAGAAAACTTCAAGCCCGATACATTTCTTTGGCCATTTTCAAGAGCATGAGTTACAAAACATACTAATAGCAAGTATAATTTTTCATATACATCTTTAAATTCTCCCAATACAACCTGAAAACTACAGTTGTGATAAAATTCTTCTAAATAGTTGTCGTTTGCTCATTACTTTATTTAAAAAAAAAAAGTTACTTAATACAGAACCTAATTACAATTTAACTTCTAATGTTTACTGTTTAAATAAACAAGACTCTAACACATGCATAAGTGCTCCTGTTTTATCTACAAGGAAGGAAAAAGGAAAGCAAAAGTAACCCACAAGCCATTTCCTGGATGTGGCAACTTCCCTGGCAGGGTGCAACTTTCTCACAAGGCACTTAATCTTCTTATATGTCAACTGAAACATCTTTAAAGATATGTTTTAAATACTTCTCTGAGATACTCAGTTTGTCAAGAGTTTGTGAAGACTAGCACTGACCACAGACTAAGAGCGTCCCAGGTAAGAGCATTAATTATCATGCAAACATTACTGGACTTTTCATAGTTTGCTGTCACCTTTACATGGTCTGCGTCCAACGTTGTTCATGCTGTTAGAACCAGATTCCTATTGAGAAATGTAAACTTTTATTCTTTAATGTAGCAACTGGAAAAAATGCTAGTAACATTTATTATACGAATCATAACATTTCCCAGCTAACATTCTGAGGTCAAACACAGAGTTATTTTGTTAAATTTAGACAAGTACAGTAAAATGAAACAAAACTCCCAGCCTTAATATTGACAGGGAATGTTGCATAATAAATCACCCAATCCTACCATTTAGTTTACTTCATTGTCTTGAAAATCGTATCACAATGAAAGCAAAAAGCACTTGAACTACACTACCTAAGAAGAGTTTGCACACTGGTGTTAGTTCACCAACTGGAGTTCCCCCTCCTCTCTTCATTTCAAGTATTTGGCAAAAACATAAACCAGTATTTACTTATTTATGTACTTTATACCAAGACCCTCTGCTTGCTATTTAGGTCATTTCAGGCACTTCCTCCAAACCACCCAGGAACTATGCATGCACACCTCTAGAAAAAACACCACTTCTGTTTGTGCAGTCACAACTTGCCTAGAAGAGAAATTTACAGGAAACTTAAGATTTTATAAAACTTAACATTGCAAATGTTTATGCCTTCATAAACTCTTCCTTGGAGTATACTTAAGCATATACTCCTAAGATAACACAGTCTACAGCTCAATTATACACTCTGAAGTAACATAGTCCATCTACCTTCAACTAATCCACTCTATTCTTCCTCTTATTTGATGTACTTGAATAACTTTTTCTACAAAATGCATACAAAGTTCACCATACAGAAAGTTACTAGTCACCGTTTTTTTTTCAGTAACTGCTATATTAACTCAGTTAAAACAATCTTTTTCTTTCATCTCACCTCATAAAACTTATCACTTGTGATCTTTTCAACAGGAAGAGGCTTGCCATCTTGAAAATTTGTGAGAATCAATGCAATAGTAGTAAGCGTTTTACCCTGCATAACAGAAAAGAATGTCATATTTTCCACAGATTAAAATGAACCAAAGGAAAAGCAAATTAAGAAACACACACACGTCTTGTAAAAAAATTTTAAGCTCAGTAAGTACTATTACCAGTCCCATATCATCAGCCAGTATTCCTCCAAGAACATTTTTAGGTCGCTGTTTTTCTGCAAAATTTGTAAGTGTATTGTAATAGAAGTTACTTCTCTCTTCCCAAAATGGTGGTAAATCATTACTGTTCTCACGTGAAACCATCCAAGCTAAAGCCTGCTTCTGATGGGGAAGCAAGAGTGTGCCAACAGCCTGCAAATTAAAAAGATATGTTATGCACATTTCGCATACTAAATTTGACATTCCATTTTTTGAAGAAAAATTTTTTTTAATAAAGTCCTTTACATCTACTAATTTTTTTTCTGATTCAAGCATCTCCTGTTCCCAGACCACAAAGCTAAATATGCATCTAGATGTTTAAGTATTTATATTTTTATAGAAAACAGTGTCAAGGTTAAGATATACCTCTGCTCCTTCCATTTCACAAGTCTGATCATCTTCCTTCAGATCCTCAAACAATTTGTCAAATTCACTTTTAAGCTGCATAAATGAACACAAAAATTGCAACTAAAATTATTGTAATTAAAAATAACATCACTAAATAATCAGTGACTCTTAAACTACAATTATCTGTCCTATGGTAATTAGGATAGGTGTACCACTTTAGACCTAGTTTGGTGGAATATGTTTATTAGCTACTGCTATGTAAAAATTCAGTTCAGTTTTACCAAGACAAACACATGCCAATACAAGCAAGAGCTTGAGAAGGATGGCTAAATATATTCACATCCTTGTACAACGCTCACTGAAGTAACTAATTCACTCTAATTTGAAAGAGCAAACAAAAAGCAAAACCAAAACCAAACCACCACCTAACCCTTCACGTATCACCCTGGGCCAAATCTGAATCTGAAGATAAAGGTGGAAAGTCTGATTTTATTTTCATTTGAGAACATAACATACTTGTTATCTGGTAAAGCATTAGGACAGAGAACAGAAAACACACCACCACAACAATGTGAAAAAATTACTGAACAACCAAAGCCTCCCAAAATTACATGGGACTCAAGGCTGTCACAGCTAAAATGTCTGCTTATACTATAAAAATTAGAAAGTTCAGAAGTGCAAGATGACATCAAAGCAAATCTGTGGTTCAGGGAAAAAAAAAAACAAAAAAAACCCAAAAAAAACAGCACGACAGACTTCCACTTCAAAAGTACCGTTTTATTAATGAAAAAGTTGAAGGCCCCCACTGTTAAAACTCCAACTTTCAGGTGTTTAAGTACGAAATGCAAACCTGTTCAGTTGTCAACTGCACAGCAGCATGAACTGGAGCACTGTAACTTGGACCAGCTCTCCCAGAAATCCGCTTTGATCCAAAACCACCTTCTGAACCTACTTGCCATTGAAAAGACAGTATTTTGAAACACAACGGTATGTTGCCTTCCCAATCTCAGCCTTCACTGGCTCATAAGTAACAACACTGATCAGACTGTGGGCTATAAGACAGTATTTTTCACCATTTGTCTTTCAGCCTCAATTTATCCTTTACTTTCAATGGGCCACAAAGGCTTTCCACAAAGCTTTGTAAGACTCACAGGCAACCAGGTATGGGTTGGGATCCTTCCAGATGGCAACTGTGTTTCTTAAAAATTGTTATGTTACATGAAACTTGACTTGGTTACAGTATGATGACTGATAACACAAAATGCTTGTTTACCCCAAGCTCTTTTTCCATTAACTATGTGCAACAGAACCTATAAGATAAAAACTGAAACCTTGTTACACGTAAAACAGACCTGTCCCTCACCAATTGTTTATTTCTGCATTCTTACTCCTGACTACCACTGCTTCCACAAAGGAGCACAGGTGCTTTTTGTGCGAGTCTCACTCTGCAGAGCATCAGGTCTGCTAAGCTTATTTGTTCAGAGACATCTCATCTCCATTTGCTCACATCTCACTAGCACAATACATGTCCCAGTACTCTGCTAAAAAGCAGCATTGTCCCTGAAACCCTCACTCTATGAAAGGATCTAAACTGTTTCTTAAAAAAAAATGGTTTTCGAGTCTGGAGATATGCAGGAAATCATTATGGATTTTTCAGGAACTTATAGAATCAAGTATATTTCTGAGGTTGCTCAAATGCCTCTCCAATTGCTGGCAGGTAACATAAAAGATAAGGCACAAAAGCGTACTTCCTATGAAGTTTAAAATTAATAGCTGTGGGCTCTGCATTACTCCCCAATGAAGCTGAAAAAATAATTTTGTGAATGACAAGACTATGGCGAGGATTAAGCCCTTAATCATTTCTTCCAACCAGTGGCAAGTTCAATCTGAATATTTTAAAAAGGAAAAAACTCCAAAACTTCAAGACTTACCTTTCAGAGGAGGAGCCAATTTAAATCCATGCCTTTTTAGCTGATGCAGCACTGCTTCCTTGTTTTCTTCTCTTCCCCAAAAGCTCATTTGTACAGGCATGGTAAAGGCATTTTTTGCTCCGTAAGGCACAACTCTGATAAAAAGCAAGAAAAAAAAACCCCACAGCAGAAATCTTTAATTGCTTATTTTTTAAAAAAATAAACTTCATTATTTCTTCAGCAAGAGGTACTCTAAAGTGCTTGTTTTCATCAAAACCCAGAATGTTCCATCTAGGTGTTAGTAGTCACACCATGTAAATCTTTTATACAAACCACCACATACAGTTTTTAAGAGCTCCACAAGAATCTTTTAAGGAATTTGCTCTCACTAGCATCTCTACATTTTATCATATATGGGAAAGAATGAACTGTATGCAAGTAGTTCAACAGAAGAATAAAGAATCTGAAAACATGAAGCTTTAATTGTATTACCAAGAGCTGTCACTTCTGTCAAAAGAGAACACTTACAGTTTTCAGAATTTGCTAGTGTAGCAACAACAACAAAAAAACGTTTCAATTATTTATATTAATGGAACCAAAACCATAATCGTCACACTTACCCTTCAACTACTGCTAGTTTGTTGTCCATAATGCCTGCCAATGCTGCCGCTAGTTCTTTTTTTATATGGCCTACCTGGTCTCCATTCACATTATTTACTTTCACTGCATTTTTATCATAAGGATTATTGGGCTCCCTCTGAAGTGCAACCATTTCATTGTTATTAACCTAACAAAGCAAAACAAACAAACAAATGCCTGAACACATTCATTTAACTCTAAATTATTTGCAGAAATATCTAAATGCACATTTACTTTGATATTGTGAAGCTTAAAAGATTAATTTAGTATAGCATTCTGTTCACTCTAATAACCTACTACTTATTCAAAATACCAAAAGCATTACAGAAGAGCTACCTGATAGATATCAGCAATTTCAAAAGTATTCCTGAGAGCAAGACCCACCCTTCCACTGCTAATATATTTTGTAAGGGAATAAACATCCCTTTCTGACCATGTAAACAGTTCAGAGACCTATCTAATTTCTTGTTTTCAGTCACTTTCATTTGCCTTATGTGGGCAAGCAGAGCTACCAAATAACTAAACCAGATTTGAAATATTGCTACCTTCATTGCTTGGCAACAGCTAAAACATCAGTGTGTTATCGACCTTATTCTCATCCTAAGTCCAAAACACAGCACTGTGCCAGCTATTGGGAAGAAAAATTGATTCTATCCCAGCCAAAATCAGGACAATTTCAAAAGATTTGACAAGGCAATGTAAGTCAAGAGAAAATAGAATTTAATTTGATTTTGATTGAATGTTGCTAATTTCATCAAATTATTTCATAGCTCATTCAGTCAAGGAAGGTGATTCTGCCCCACTATTGTGCTCTTGTGAGACCCCACCTGTGGTACTGCATTCAGCTCTGGGGCTCCCAACATAGAAAGGACATGGAGCTGTTGGAGCAAGCCCAGAGAAGGCCCACGAAGATGATCCGAGGGCTGGAGCACCTCTGCTATGAAGACAGGCTGGGAGGGTTGGGGGTGTTCAGCCTGGAGAAGAGAAGGCTCCAGGGTGATCTTATTGCAGCCTTCCAGTACTTAAAGGGGGCCTACAGGAAAGCCGAGGAGGGACTTTTTACAAGGGCATGTAGTGATAGGACAAGGGGCAATGGCTTTAAACTGAAAGAGGGGAGATTTAGATTAGAATCATAGAATGGTTAGGGTGGGAAGGGACCTCAAAGCTCATCTAGTTCCAACCCCCCTGCCATGGGCAGGGAAACTCTCCACTACACCAGGTTGCCCAAAGCCTCATTCAACCTGGCCTTGATCAGATCTAAGGAAGAAATTCTTCACTCTGAGGGTGGTGAAGCTCTGGAACAGTTTGTCCAGAGAAGCTGTGACTGCCGTGTCCCTGGAAGTTTTCAAGGCCAGGTTGGATGGGACTTTTGAGCAACCTGATGTAGTGGAAGGTGTCCCTGTCTGTGGCAGGGGGGGTTGAAGCTACGTGATCTTTAAGGTCCCTTCCAACCCAAATCATTCTATGATTTTTTTTTATTTAATTAAATTTTGAATTTAAGTTTTAGATTAAATACTTCCTTGAAGAATATTCAATACAGCAACTTAGGGGGAAAAAAAAAATCTTAAAATTATACTGGGTCAAAAGTTCTAGGAATTTTTGAACTTTAATTAAACATGTTTTTTTTCTGAAGCTGACAACAACTTTTTCTTCTGCTTTATAATTTATCATGCACTTACAATCCCCGTGTAGTATCGTAATCCAACAACGCTTCCTCGCAAAGTTCCATATAAGATAGCTAAGTCTGTATCCTCCTCTGTTCCAGAAGTGTCACCTACAGAGAGGAAATCTTCCAACCCAAGACTGGAGTAAAAGTCAGAAGAGGAAAAATAGGAAGAGCTTCTCTCTCCTCTGCAGATGTTATACTGAGAGCATCCTCTTGCAGAGTCTCTGCAGAAAGATAAAGTGTGAAATATTTGACAATGACTTTAATAAATCGAAGAATTATTTCCTCGTAATCTATTTCACTCCTTTATATAGGGCTATATATATACACACCCCTCCCTATAAACCCCACTTTTACAACTATATTCAGATAATATTTACCCGGAAACATTAAAAAAAGGTTTTATATTAGATGAAAATTTTGTCCACCATTTTTTAATCCCCAATAAACTAGTTTAAGCCAATTACAGTGAAGAGCTGACAACTCAATTGACTAAACTATGGTAACTGCATTCTGCCCTACCTTCCCTCACAGGACTATCCTCGTCAACAACATTGAGAATTCTACAGATTTAGTTACATTTCTAACTATACCGAGCACAGCAAAATTTCCATGTATTTTCCCAACATCAATTTTTCTCCTCTAAGAAAAAGATTTAAAAAATCTGTTTGTAGCTGACTAACTCTGTAGAACTTCATGCCTATATTCACAAAAGTTGAAACGCTAAAACAACTGTTCCCTACATATTTAAGCTTACCTTCATACTTTATAATAAACTTTGATCAGCCACTCCAACCTAACTCAGGTACTCACGCTATGTCTCTCACACAAACTTCACCCAGCCAGGTTCCCCTCCTGGCGCAGCGATACACCCGGTAACTCCCGCTACTGCACGCTAAGAGATGGAAACATCTGTGGCTGCGCACTTCGTGCATGCTTGAGTGAAGATCGACACACTAACCACTGCTTTAATCAAGTAATACGTTACAATAAAATCTCAACACAAGTTTCAACTGATCCGTAACACTCATGACATCTGGTATATGCCAAAACTACCCTACTGTGTTGCAGGATTAATTTACTGCCAATTAAAAGAACTAGTTGCCACATGCTAGTTATTCGGAGCTTGGCGTAGGAAGCTTTGGGTTGTTTTGCAAACGATATCCGAAGCTACCGCACAGCCGGCGCTCCGTTCTCCCGGCAGAAGGAGCCTGAAGAGGC